GGCACTTGTCATGTGTTCTTAGAAAGGGGACAGGGTTGTGTGTTGTGGGGAGGGGAAGGGAAAGGAGTTTGTAAGCCGCTCTGAGACTCCTTTGGGTAGTGAAGGGCGGGGTATAAATCCAATCCCTTCTCTCTCTTCTTCTCTCTTCTTCTTCTTCTCTCTTCTTCTCTCTTCTCCTTCTCTTCTTCTTCTTCTCTCTTCTCTCTTCTTCTCTCTTCTTCTTCTTCTTCCTCTTCCTCCTCCTCTTCTTCCTCTTCTTCCTCTTCCTCTTCCTCCTCTTCTTCCTCGTCGTCCTCCTCTTCCTCCTCCTCTTCCTCTTTCTCTTCTTCCTCTTCCTCCTCTTTCTCCTCCTCCTCTTCCTCTTCCTCCTCTTCCTCCTCCTCTTCTCTCTTCTCTCTTCTCTCTTCTTCTTCTGAGGGCTTTTCCCAGCAAGGCTTCTGATTGGCTGTGCAGATGAAAAAGGCTCCCTGTTAAACAAGAGTTTCTGCCTGAAACGTGAAGACGTTGCTACTGGAGTTACATATCACCTCACTCCCTGACATTGTGGGATTGGCTCCGCCTCCTGCGTCAGAATTCCAAAGGGTGCCCACAGGCTCAGAAAGGTTGAGGACCCCCGAGCTAGACGACCCCCTTTAGAGTGATGTCAGGAGGGACCCCGGGGGCTTGGTGGAGCTCGACAGCTGTCCTTTGAGACCGGGATCCAGTTGTGAATCTTAGCACGTGGCTGCCCCGTTTGCACAAAGCTGGGAAAGACGGAGGGCTCTACCAATCGCGTCCCCACAGCTTCAGCCTCCTCCCAGCCTTGCTCACTATCAGTACTGGAATCCTAAGATCCCACATCTTGGTCCATTCATAAAGAGCCAATTGCAGGCGTTTACAGCCTCAGTTTGCCTAGTGCAGAGAAGGGAGAGGTCATTTAATCCTTTCTCCTTGCCTTGGCTTTGCTGTTGAAACAGGGCTCCCCGCTTTGCCATCACTTTCAGAGGGGAAAGTATGGCTTTAGAAGAACGTACACTTCCTTCTTTAAATACTAGTAACAGAGCAGAGGTTTGAAATAGCGAAGCTGAGTGGGAGTTCAGGGGTTAAACCTGCTCTCCCTTCCCCGCGTGGCACCTAGACAAATTGAGGCTGCCAAAGCCTGCAGCTTACATTTTTATAGAAGGAAATATGATCTGTTTGAAACCTGAGTTAGCTAGGAAGGGAAGGGAACGTACACTGCAAGGTGTGAGCTGAATGCTGGGGAGGGAGCGTTATAGGTTTTCTCTAAAATTCAGGTTTTTCCCTCCCAAGACTTGGGTCAGACCTGGGTCTAAATGTTGCAGTTTCTAGCATGACCCTAAGTACCTTAACTTGGCCTGTAAGGGTTTGTCAGCCTGTTAAACTGTATTTAGGCATATGCTGTGTTGCGTTGATGCTAAGTTGCAGAGAGACTTTGGTAACTTTGCCAATGCCTGGTGTTCCCCATATTCTCCTTTGACTTCTCGACATCCCTTCCGCTTGCTGCCATCTCGCCTCTTAAACCTCCCCTTTCTCCTCCCGGGTCTCCCCTCAGACAAGTACGCAGTCCGCTTTATCCCCCGCGAGAACGGCATCTACTCCGTCGACGTCAAGTTCAACGGCAGCCACATCCCCGGCAGCCCCTTCAAGATCCGTGTCGGGGAGGTGGGCCAGACCGGAGACCCGGGGATGGTTTCTGCCTACGGCCCCGGCTTGGAGGGCGGTGTGACAGGTGAGGGCCGAGGAAACGGGAGCAGGAGGCCGGCATCCAAAACACCAAAGCGGGGCGAGCTAGTCCGTCTCACCCTGGATTCCGGCCCATCTCCTCCCCTGCAGGGAATCCCGCTGAGTTCATCGTCAACACCACCAACGCGGGTCCTGGGGCGCTGGCGGTCACCATCGACGGTCCCTCTAAGGTGAAGATGGACTGCCTGGAGTGTCCGGAAGGCTACAAGGTCATCTACACACCCATGGCACCGGGCAGCTACCTCATCTCCATTAAGTATGGCGGCCCGTACCACATCGCCGGCAGCCCCTTCAAGGCCAAAATCACAGGTAAGCGCCGTGCGGGTCTCAGATGGGGGCTCTCCTAGGACATTGGCCTTCTTAGAGAACCCGGGAGCCCAAGGGGTAGGGTTCCCATTTGCCTGCTTGAGGCGAGAGATATCTAGGGCATCGGCAGCACTTGCCCTACAGTGCCCAGCTGATGGACAGGCAGAAATTGGGGCCGAAGTAGGTGGCCGTAGTCATCCTGGGAAGAAAAATCCAAAGGAAAGAGGAGGCCTCCTCCATTGTAGAAAGTTCCGACCATGGAGTTCTGATGATTCCTAGAGCTACCCGGAAGTGACAAGGGCCGTTTTAGCCATTGCTGGAAACTCTATGGTCAGAACTTCCTGTGAGTGGCGGAGGCCTAGTTTTTCTCCTGGGACGCTTCCTCCCCACCACCGCAACCCTTCCACCAGTTGCCAGGAACTGCCTGGACAGCCCTCGCCAAGGACCGCCATTCCATGTTGGTCTAGGGGCGGTGGTCTTGAACGGATGCAGGCGGGGCAGAGGGCATTTTGGCCCAGGGCTCATCTCGAGCCAGTTTGGTTAAAAGCGCAGACTCTTAATCTGGGAGAACTGGGTTAAATTCCCCTCTCCTCCACATGCCGCTGCTGCTGTGAACTTGGGTCAGCCACAAGTCCTCTCAGAGCTGGTTCTCTCAAGGGCAGTTCTCCGGAGAGCTCTCTCAGCCCCACCTACCTCACAGGCAGCGTTCCCTCGAAGCTGAGTGAGTGTGAGCCAGCTCACTGTTTCTTAGCCTCCGGCTCATATGTTTTTGTCTTCGCTCAGGAAGGGTGGCTCCAGAGCAAGCTAGTCTATGCAGCACTCACAATTTGAGTGCCCGTAGCTCACAAAGTAGAATTTTTGCTCACAGGACTCCACAGCTTAAGAAGAAGAAATTGGATTTATACCCCGCCCTTCACTCCCCAAAGGAGTCTCAGAGCGGCTTACAAACTCCTTCCCCTTCCCCTCCCCACAACAGACACCCTGTGAGGTAAAAGAAGAATAAGAGGAGATTGGATTTATACCCTGCCCTTCACTACCCAAAGGTGTCTCAGAGCAGCTCACAATCTCCTTTCTCTTCCCCTCCCCACAACAGACACCCTGTGAGGTAAAAGAAGAAGAAGAGATTGGATTTATACCCCACCCTTCACTCCCCAAAGGAGTCTCAGAGCGGCTTACA